AAAGTAATCATCAAGCTGAAGGTGGAAGGAAGCTTCATCAGGTAGCTACCCTAAACCATTGAGGAAAAAAATCCCTTTATGTGATTGTACTATTATAAGTTTATGAATTTAACTTTCTAACGAGACAGACACTTTACTACACGCCTCATAATTTTATTATCCCATTATTATATTATTTGCAAAAAATAGCCCAACATTTTTCAGACGTATTGCTTCTCTCTCTCTAGTTTCAAGTGTATTCATTCAAAATGAAATGTAACCGGAAATTAAGTTAAACAGCTAAAACATAACGTCCTATGTTACTTTTTATTTACTGTATCTAAGTATTTAATCATCATCATCAATATCATCATTTCAGGACGTCCACTGCTGAACATAGGCCTCCCCCAATGATTTCCATGTTGACCGGTTGCAACCGTCCAGCGCCATCTAAGTATTTATTTTAATAAATTTCCTTTATACTAGTACATTGTTTCACCATGTCAGGCGACCCTACGTTTCTCCTGAAAATATGAAACGGGCGCGTTTCCTTAGCACGCGAAAATTGAAGGGCAGATTATAAGGGCGTGTAATTGTTAGGGAAAATGCGTATCGTCGAGGAACGGCAAGCAATTAAATTTCACATTAGACCGTTTGTTCAGAAGCAATCGGGCGCTGTTTAATAAGCGATGGAAGATATCATGATACGACAGCATATTTAGACTTTATTTTTGTTGCAAAGTCACCCATATTACAACTTGAACAAGAACGCAGTGTCCAGCTTGATGTGCCGTCCGTCTGTATTATTATCAGTACAACAATGGTGTTCCTGTTAAAATTGTGACAGTACTTATTTTGCAATCGAGTAATTTTTTTATGTAAAGGAACAGCAAATAAGTTACAATGTAGCGATAGATATAAAAAAGTATATTAAAAATCGAAATGAGATGTGGGAAGAAAATATAATTTTATTTGAATGTTCTTTTGCAAATATAAGTAAATTTAACCAAGCAAACATGGACCAAAACCTCCTAAAAGGATTCCCAAAACGACCGGTCCCTTACTGTCCACATCTAGGTGCTTCTTATAATTTCTTAACTATTCTGTCACCGTGTGAAAGCAATGGTAAGCGTGTGGTCGCTTACTATGGGCCTCATAAGAAGGCACAAGGTCACGCAAAGGGCGATGGAGCGGGCTATGCTCGGAGTTTCCCTGCGTGATCGAATCATAAATGAGGAGATCCGCAGGAGAACCAAAGTAACCGACATAGCTCGCAGAATTGCTAAAATCAAGTGGCAGTGGGCGGGGCACATAGCTCGTAGAGACGATGGTCGTTGGGGCAGTAAAGTTCTCGAGTGTTGACCACGGGTTGGAAGACGTAGCGTGGGCTGGCCTCCTACTAGGTGGACCGACGATCTGGTAAAGGTCGCGGGAAGAGCCTGGATGCGGGCAGCGCAGGACCGTTCATTGTGGAAAACCTTGGGGGAGGCCTTTGTCCAGCAGTGGACGTCATTTGGCTGAAACGAACGTGAAAGCAAATATTAGGTAGGTACCTATTATGTTTTATTGTAGTAATTTATTTGAACAATTTATTTCATATCTTTGTACCTATAAGTAGACTTTGCACTCTCCTTTGTAATAATAAGTTTCAACTTTATCCTGTTAGTCCCAATTTGCTTATAGAAAAATGCAAAGAGCTTTGATTGGAGAGGTCATTTCTTTTAACTCTTATTATTGATGTTTGTCGAGCGTGTATCTAGACTAGACATTGACTTTGGCCGATTTTTTGGCATTGAGTCTAATCAATACTCAATTTATTCAGCACTGAACTGGGTCACTTCAAATAAATCAGTATTTTTGCGAGACATTATGTAACCATTGTCACTGCTTTCTGCTAAAAAAAAAGTAGATACAGGCCTTTTGTAAACTTTTACTGCTTATGCTCATATTAGTTTCAATTCACGATGAAAACAATGTTAGTAGGTACGTATTTACAGATGGAAAACAAAGTGATAAAAACTATCTAATTCGTTTTATTTGGATGTGCATTTTTGTTACTATGACAAAAACATTTGCATTTATGAATATTGGTTTATTATCCTTGAACTGAGTTGCACTAATTGACTTTAACAAAGGTCAAAAATCTGTCAAACTGCATAGAAAAAGCACCGGTTTATTGTTTTAAGTTGCGGTTAAAGTATTTAAGTGCCCAATTAACTTAATAAATATAAAACTAGGTAGAGTTTGAGTAAAACGACGATTAAAGCCTGAGATTCATAATACTCAAGAACAGTATTTTTAATTCTTGCCCTACCTACTTACCTATAAGCTTCATAGTTAGTAGACAGTTAGACAGAGGCCCAAACTGATCTGGGTGTCAAGTATCTAAGGCTTTACAAACTTCAATGAATAATGCTGTAAGTACAAGGTACAAGTACAAGTACAAGTTGATACAGGAATGGATGCTTTAAATGTTCACGGCCATTTTGAAGTATTGATTTGGATTTTGCACTTATCGGTTAAGGAAGTTTTGAGATGAATGCGGTTAAACTTCGGAATATTTGTACGGATACTTGTTTACGTCATTCATAGTATTCTATACTGACTCATGCATTTGATTGAAAACTTGTTGTTTGCCGGTAGAGCCGGTTTCTACTCATTTACATTCGGCGGTTGGTCCGCGACAACATTTTCTTCATATTAGATAAGGAAAGAATTTTATAATACATAGGTACACCTATTATTATACATACTTTTTATTTGTATTTTTTAATTACACAGATCCAGGTCCTAAAACATTACATTACAAAACATTAGAACTCCATAAAAATAATTTTGATGATCTTTTTAAATATTGTAAAGTTTAAGTATTATCAAAGTTGCACAATGCAATGCACATGACCTAAATATATTCACAAATGTGAAGCTACAAAGAAGGCTAGTAACTATTAATCACCCAGCAAGTAAATAATTTCTTATAATAATTGAATAGGTAGTACATACCTAGGTATTATCATTTTGCGACATTAACATTTAACACAATGGTAATACATACCAAAATGCAATAAATGACTTCTACAAAAGAACTCTCGAAAAGTCTCTAACGACTAAAGGGCAGTGATAAAAGTGATTTATAAGGGTGTAATTAGCGCAGCCACAATAAACTCTGAAGTAGAAATGCTTACGATAACTTATTTTGCTCTTGTTTTAAAGGTAGGTAGATCTCTCTTTGAAATTACTTAAATTCAGTACTTTATCGTTGAATAGACCCATGGGTTTCTACAACGACCGGTCCTGCACTGCCCACATCCAGGCATATATTTAGTGACTTACTGAGTGATTTTATTAAAATAGTATCAAGGAGATATCAAACAATCCATACTTATTTATAAGAAGAAAACTGACTGACATAGAGCATACATCAATCCCATACTCCATAGGATTCTTATAACGTAGGTGAAGACCAAGAAAGAAGGGATTATCTCGCACAGATTTACTTTTACACGTTGTACGCCACGCGGCTCACCGGTGAGCCACGAATAATAAAATTTCTATTGTGTCTTGTGTTCTCGGCAGTCAGTCGTAAGGCCGGTTTCCAAGCCCACCATCAAACAATTACTAAGCTTACGGAGCTATATTGAGGCGTTTAATCCTGAAAGTCCATAACATTCGGCATAAAACCCATACTTTCTACCGCAAGCACTTCTAATCGAAAATTACTTCTCCCGTAATGTGGTTCGCTCCCGTATGAAATTTACGAGGTTAATTTCCACACACGACAATACCCGCGCCTACGGTGTGCCGTAAAGTTACAATAGAAATAGAATGAGTAAGTTCTTTCCTTTGTAATTATGTAGGATTGTTTTTAACTAGGTATATTAACCCCCTTGTGTCCCTTAGAAGCTCTTATCTTAACAATCAATATACCTACAGTACTATTTTTGCTACTTTCAGTGTGAAATAAATTAATCATAATCATTCCTATTAAGTACATTCTCATTTTAGTAACTAACTTTTGTTTTTGTGTAAACCCCTAGTTGCAACTTAAAATGGAAAGCTTAAAAAAGATGCAATAGGAACAACTTTACAAAAAAGATGTAGTAAAATTTTCTCATATTAATTTATCGTCACAACAAAAGATAACAAATAATAAAGATGAGACTACTTCTTTTACTTCCATTAGAACGTAATGCACAATTTTACTTGGTTTCTTTCTTTGAGACGTCGACGTTTCATTTCGCGAGGTCGAAGTATTCTTCCTTTTTCAATAATCATCCCTGAAGATCGTGAGGAAGAAAACTTTTTAGGGATAAGACGGAGGTAAAAGTAATGAGTCTTATGCCCGTTTTCACCATCAATCCCTAATTTTTAAGTGACCCCTATGGTATCATATAACAGGAATTTCGTTTTCAAAGGAGTTACTTAAAAATTAGGGATTGATGGTGAAAAGTGAAAACTGACATTACTCATTTACTTTACAAAAGTTGGTTAAAATTCTTATCTTTATCCAGATCTATTTATATTTAGTAAACAAACGTGGAAGACGTAGCGTGGGCAGGCCTCCTACTAGGTGGACCGACGATCTGGTAAAGGTCGCGGGAGGAGCCTGGATGCGGGCAGCGCAGGACCGTTCATTGTGGAAAACCTTGGGGGAGGCCTTTGTCCAGCAGTGGACGTCATTTGGCTGAAACGAACGAACGAAACAAACGTCTCAATTATTCAATTAATGAAAAATATTCTAGTAGTAACATACTAAGACACGAAACTCAAATCAGTTATGCAAATTACCACGGTAATTAGAGACCGATAGAATCCCAATTCCCAAACACACAAATTACAAAACATTTAAGATTGCATTGACCCAAACATACTTGTGTATTCAATGATAACGACGGCACTTTTTCTTTTGCGGGTACTTCTAAATGTTTTTTGATGTCCCTTGTCACAGTTTCACCGTAAAATTACACTTTCTAATGACATTCTTAACCATATAGAAGCCCAAAAGAAANAAGTACCGTAAAATGGGGGGAATAGGGTTTAGGGTGAGAATAGGGACACATTCGAGATTGACTTTATGGTATAACTACACGATTACTATACGATTTAATGTATCAGGCAGAATTTGTATTTAAAGATTGCAACATTTTTTTTGTAATCTGGCAACATTAAGTGGTCCTGTCACACTGAATTAAAAAAAAAACAGTCATTTGTGAATTGGGTCAGAAACAAGAAAATATTGCTCTTCAAAACTTTTCAATTTCATAAATATACAGCGACGATACGAGTCGATGAAGTGTTCAGCATTATCTTCGGTGTTTCGGGAACAGAACGAGCTGTAATGTAAGTGATCTAACATATTATTTTTACTATAATTTTAACAAAATCTTAAACAGCCCGATTTCGACTAGATATGGGGAGATTAGGGTCGACTAAGAGTGTGAATAGGGTCGTGAGTAGTGGCAATCGGGTCGGAGAGTAGGTTTAATAGGGTCATACTTGGGGCAATCGGGACGGCTGTGGGTGAATAGGTTTTTTGTTAATAGGGTTGTCACAATAATATAGGTATTAAAATTTTTCTAGAAGGTACCTATTTTGGAGTACCTACTGATAAGTAATTTTAATCAAAAGTTATTTTCAAACAAAAAAAATGATAAAAAATAAACCAAGTGCCTAATAAAAAAATTACTTAATTATTTATTATTTTGTTTTAGTGGATACAACACAATGCCCCGAGAATATAAATCGAAGCCAAACGGGAAAAGGTACAAAAAGTATGACACATTAGTAATCGAACAAGCTTTAATTGAGTTAGCGAATCCTCAGGCAACAATTAGAACAGTTGCCGAAAAATTTAATATTTCTAGATCAGTCTTACAGAGACATAGCACAAGGCAAATGAAGTCACAAGGAGGCCAAACAGCTCTAACTAAAGAAGAGGAAGAGCATATCATATTAAACATTAACACATGTGCTGAATGGGGATATCCAATGGATGTCCTCGATTTAAGGGTTTTGGTCAAAAGTTATCTAGATATGTTAGGGGTTAAGCACAGGAGGTTTAAAAATAACTTGCCAGGAAGAGATTTTGTGTACAATTTTTTGAAGCGACATAAGAATGACATATCGCTGAGGCTTTGCCAGAACATAAAACGTTCCAGGGCAGCTGTATCGCCTTCTACAATTAATACATATTTTTCCGAATTACAAAACTCTATTGAGAACGTGCCACTTAATAATATACTAAATTATGACGAGACGAATCTCTCTGATGACCCAGGCCGTCATAAAGTATTAACAAGGCGTGGATGCAAATATCCAGAGCGAGTACTTAATCATTCCAAAGCATCAATATCGCTAATGATGGCTGGAACTGCTGCGGGAGAATTATTACCACCATATGTGGTTTACAAATCTACAAATATCTATGATTCGTGGATGAAAAATGGTCCCAAAGACGCAAGATATAACCGAACCTCATCTGGATGGTTTGATGCCCAATCATTTAGAGATTGGGTCAAAGAAATAGTTCTTCCATTTTATGAAAATAAGGAAGGAAAGAAAGTCTTAGTGGGCGATAACTTATCGTCTCACTTGTCTACAGAATTGATTGATCTGTGCAAGAGTCAAGATATACACTTCGTATTTTTGCCGGCCAATTCCACTCATTTGACGCAGCCTTTAGATGTTGCTTTTTTCAGGCCGATGAAAATAGCGTGGCGTCAGATTCTTCAAAAATGGAAAAAAACTGACGGCCGAGCACTTTCGACTGTACCAAAAGGTTGCTTCCCAAGGCTATTAAAGCTACTTATGGATGAAATAAATTCAGAAAATAATCTTCGGGCAGGTTTTCGCAAGGCTGGAATCAGTCCATTTAATCCAAATGAAGTCCTAGCAAGATTACCGCAAGAGACTGTTAATGGTGAAGAGGTAAAAGATGCCATTGATAAATCCGTTTTGAATTTATTAAAAGAAATGCGCTACGGAAGCATGAATATTATGGAACCGAAAAATAAAAGAAAAATTAATGTTATTGCGGGTCGAAGCGTGTCAAACGAAGAAATGGAAAGGTATGCTGAAACTGACCCTGAATCCGAAATAAAAAAGAAACGGATGAATACCGAAAAATCTAAAAAAGGAAGTTTAAAAGGCAAAGGTGTAGGTAAAAGAACACAAAAGAAAAGTGAAGAAAAAGAAAATAAATTGCTATTGCCAGGACCTAGCTCAGGAACACAGAAGCCCATACAGGAAACTTCAGAAATAATTAATGCAGAAGAATTTCAATACCAAGAACAAAAAGATGATTGGCGTGATATGGATGTAGAAAACATGCCTGTGATATTATCTGAAAATGTAGAGTTGTATGAAGAAATAGTAGAATCATGTGAAACATTTTTTTCAAACCAAAGTGATGTCACTAAAGAAACGAGTACTATTTCAGTTGAAAATGATCAAGCTAGTACTAGTTCTACTACAGCTAATATATACGACAATGCAGCAGAAGAGTCAAAAAATAAAAAAGACTCTACAAATGAGAAAAATAGATCTTTTATTATTGACAATAAAATAATTACTCAAACAGAATTAAAAAAACTTCTACCGAAAAATCAACGGAAACCAAATCTGATACCACTTACTAAAATAAATAATGATTTTATAATTAAGAAGACAGCAGTACGTGGTCCTAGAAACAATAATTTGTATAATAACAGTGACGAGATTCTAAGGATTCTAGAGAGTGATTGACTTTTCAGTTTTACCAAAGTTAAGCAATTTTAAGAAATAAGGAGATTTTTTTTTATGTTGATTAAGAAGTACCTCACTGTAATTGTTTTATTAGAGTGCATAAGTTTAAATTATACGTAGGTACATAACATACGTATGTGTAAGGTATATGATACCTTAAATTTCAATTTCAATTTTTACCAAAGTTAAGCAATTTTAAGAAATAAGGAGATTATTTATTTTTTTTATGTTATTTAAGAAGTACCTCACTGTTATTGTTTTATTAGAGTGCATAAGTTTAAATTATACGTAGGTACATAACATACGTGTAAGGTACATGATACCTTAAATTTAAATTTCAAGAGATTGAAGACTTCTTTACTATTTTTTAGATGTTTAAACAACTAAGTATTACACAAACAGTTTTGTGTGTCTTTGTTATGTTTTTTTCTATTGTATTTGTTATTATAAAAAGGGTAATTTATTTTTACGTTTATTTGATACCACTATTTTTAAAAGATTTTAGAAATGTCGCATAAAATTTAATACATCAATGTTGATTTCGTGAGTAATCGTAGTTTTATTTTATTCTTTAATTTTATTATATATGTAATAATATTTGAGTAAACGAAACTAAAACTGTTTTTAAAATATAAATAATATATACTAACAATAAAATTTATTGTTAGTATCACTACATAGTATAAGACAAAGTCGTTTTTTCTGTCCCTATATCCCTATGTATGCTTAAATCTTTAAAACTACGCAACGGATTTTTATAGAGTACCTAATTGAAGAGGAAGGTTTATATCTAGGTATAATTCATGCACATTGCACCCGTGCAAAGCCGGGGCAGGTCGCTAGTATTGTGTATATTTTTAAAAAAGTTTAAGAATCTAGTTTGTGAACAAAGAAATGATTCAGTAAATAAATAAATAAAGTAGTAATAAAAAAACCTAAGCAGCATCAACCCTAACGAAAAACTCTATTGTCCCCATAAGTGACCCGATTCACCCTAAAGCTGAGGTGAATAGGGACAAGCTAGTTTTTTGAACTTTTTGTAGATATTCTAAATAAAATATAAGTAGAATGTACAGGATATAAATATACAAACCGCCGGAATCATTATAATCTACATTTTGTTGGTTAGATCAATGAAAAAAGCGATGAAAATAAATGTTGAAGTCAGAAAGTGACCCGATTCCCCCCAATTTACGGTAAATAATTTCTTATAATAATTGAATAGGTAGTACATAGTTACCTAGGTATTATCATTTTGCGACATTAACATTTAACACAATGGTAATACATACCAAATTGCAATAAATGACTTTTACAAAAGAACTCTCGAAAAGTCCCTAACGACTAAAGGGCAGTGATAAAAGTGATTTATTAGGGTGTAATTAATTAGCGCAGCCACAATAAACTCTGAAGTAGAAATGCTAACGATACTTATTTTGCTCTTGTTTTAAAGGTAAATTACTTAAATTCAGTACTTTATCGTTGAATAGACCCATGGGTTTCTACAACGACCGGTCCTGCACTGCCCACATCCAGGCATATATTTAGTGACTTACTGAGTGATTTTATTAAAATAGTATCAAGGAGATATCAAACAATCCATACTTATTTATAAGAAGAAAACTGACTGACATAGAGCATACAACAATCCCATACTCCATAGGATTCTTATAACGTAGGTGAAGACCAAGAAAGAAGGGATTATCTCGCACAGCTTTACTTTTACACGTTGTACGCCACGCGGCTCACCGGTGAGCCACGAATAATAAAATTTCTATTGTGTCTTGTGTTCTCGGCAGTCAGTCGTAAGGCCGGTTTCCAAATCAAATAAAAATCAAATCAAATCACTTTATCAAATCACCAAGCCCACCATCAAACAATTACTAAGCTTACGGAGCTATATTGAGGCGTTTAATCCTGAAAGTCCATAACATTCGGCATAAAACCCATACTTTCTACCGCAAGCACTTCTAATCGAAAATTACTTCTCCCGTAATGTGGTTCGCTCCCGTATGAAATTTACGAGGTTAATTTCCACACACGACAATACCCGCGCCTACGGTGTGCCGTAAAGATACAATAGAAATAGAATAAGTAGCATCTTTCCTTATTTAATAATTAAATAGTATTTTTTTCAATTACTTAATAAATCATACTTAACGTGTACCTAAAGCTCTCAAACTTTGCAAACATAATTTCCTTTGCCGTTATTTTAGATTTGCTAGTTCGTTCGTTCAACTAAAATACGACCACTGCTGGATGTTGGTTTTTTCCCAACGATTGGCCCTCCGCTTCTTGCGAACTCCACCAGACCGTTGGTTAACGCTAGATTGCTAGTATGTAGTGCGTGGGACGTCCACCCACAATGTGAACCGATGACATTATAAAGGTAATAATTTTAGCTACACATTGTTAAAAGGAAGTAAAAACTTTTCATATTAATGAATCGTCATTGTTTTGACGATAAATAATACCATTATGAGACTACTACTTAAGCGTTCATTAGAACGTAATGCACAATTTTACTTGGTTTCTTTCTTTGAGACGTCGACGTTTCATTTCGCGAGGTCGAACGAAGTATTCTTCCTTTTTCAATAATCATCCCTGAAGATCGTGAGGAAGAAAACTTTTTAGGGATAAGACGGAGGTAAAAGTAATGAGTCTTATGCCCGTTTTCACCATCAATCCCTAATTTTTAAGTGACCCCTATGGTATCATATAACAGGAATTTCGTTTTCAAAGGAGTTACTTAAAAACTAGGGATTGATGGTGAAAACGGACATTACTCATTTACTTTACAAAAGTTGGTTAAAATTGTTATCTTTATCCAGATCTATGTATATTTAGTAAACAAACGTCTCAATTACCTACCTATACAATTAATGAAAAATATTCTAGTAGTAACATACTAAGACACGAAACTCAAATCATTTATGCAAATTACCACGGTAATTAGAGACCGATAGAATCCCAATTCCCAAACACATAAATTACAAAACATTTAAGATTGCATTGACCCAAACATACCTACTTGTGTTTTCAATGATAACAACGGGACTTTTTCTTTTGCGGGTACTTCTAAATGTTTTTTGATGTCCCTTGTCACAGTTTCACCGTAAAATTACACTTTCTAATGACATTCTTAACCATATAGAAGCCGAAAAGAAAATACTTATGCTCGTTTTCTCCATCAATCCCTAAGTTTTAAGTGACCCGTTTGAAAACAAAATTCCTGTTATGTGTTACTATAGGGGTCACTTAAAAAATAGGGATTGATGGTGAAAACGGGCATTAGACTCGTATTCTAAAACGACTCTACAATATTCCAGCAAGTAGGTATATGATTAGTAAAATTTTAGTAATGAGGCCAATTTGTATAGTAATTGGTCAGTCCAGATTGATACTTAGTTCACGGTCTAACCCTAAAGTATACTAACACATGACTATAATTTAAAAAATGTGGCAACAACACATACACGTAATCATATTTGTCGGCCCTTTGGTGTAGTGGTTCGAAACGGACTACTATTCCGGAGGTAGCGGGTTCGATTCCCGCACAGTACAAACATTTGTGTGCAGGAACACATTTGTTTGTATTGGACTTGGTGTTTTCTATGTATAATAAGTATGTATTTACAAAAAAAAATTAAGTGTGTATATTACATCTGTTGTCTAGTACCCATAGTACAAGCTTTGCTTAGTTTGGGACTAGAAGCGCAGTGTAAAATGTCCTAGGATATTTATTTATTTATTATTTATTTATATACTTATTTACACAATAATGGAATCTAAGGACAAGTGTAGGTACTAGATACATTCGGCCGGCCTTCATTCAATGCTACGAAGGGTTTTCAGTTTCGTTCAGTGTGTACCCGGACCTTTGTACACGTCCCTTTCAAAACTATAGAAATAGAGAGAGGCCATCAATCTTGGTTACAAGTAGGATAGTTGAGTTTATGAGCCTCAAAAAGGTTTTATTTATTACTTACAGAGAGGGGGTTTTGATCAATTAATTCATTGTGTGCCAAACAAACTTCTAATTTTTTTATTTTGAACCGTGGTAATCCCCGTAGGAAAACGATAAAAAAGGTCTAATTTTAAAATGTTGATAGCCCAATAAAATAAATAAATAAAAACGTAAACATCAGAATGTTTATAAGTAGTTATAAGTATGTCAGATATGTATGTATTTATTATTGTACATAAATTCCCCGAAGTTTAGATACATGTTATCTGGTTTAAAGACTCAACGGTCAAAAGTTAGTAAAACAAGTCATAAATATAGGTAATACCTTAAAACGAAATTATCATATCGTGCTAGTTTCAAAATTTCTTGTAACTTATACACGATAGCACTAATAACTATTACAGGTTTAGATACTGACCCTATAGTTAGTATTATTATTCTCATTTTGTGAAAAATAGAGAGAATGACCTGATAATGATGTTCATACTTATCATCAAAGTATACTAGTATGTATGACCTTGTCACAATACAATGGTCATATTGAATTGTTACAAATAAAAACACTCAGTTCGGTACACGAATAATGAAATTCTTAACCCTTTTATAGTATGGGTACATTATTCCCAAAATAAAATAGAATTCAAAAGGAACGATCGGAACGAATGTCGACTGAATTACAGTTGTCGATGAAATGGCTTCATTTAACCGCTCAGCTGGAATTAAGGTCAATTTATGTCGCGAAAGTGTGAGGGTTGAAGGTGGGTACGGTTAAATTGGGTATTACTTGTATTTGTGTTTACTGATGACGTACTGCAGGGGTTTATTAAGTTCAGTTCATTTGGGCCGCTTTGACGGCTAGCCGAGTCTATATTCAAGAAATATTTATACCATGTATAAAAGGTAGTAAGTATAATCTCACCATCACCATTGATTCCAAGTGAGACTGACTGAAAATGACAGTACCTGATAGAAGTTTTTTTCCTTGACATAGCCCGACGGACTAGTAAGCTGACGTGGCAATGGGTAGGGTACATAGTACGCAAAACTAATGGCCGATGGGGCAGCAAGGTTCTGGAGTGGAGGCCGCGTATCGGAAAACGCAGTGTGGGACGTCAACACACAAGGTGGACCGACGACATCACAAAGGTAGCAGGAAGGCGCTGAACGCAGGCAGCTACCAACCGGGCACCATGGAAAACAATTGAGGTGATGATGATAATATTGATCAATATTGATAGTCAGCTTATCAATGTTGATGACAAAATATTTTGAAAACTGTGGCTCGCTGTCTGTCAGTTCCAATTTTGAGTGTGCCAGATATCGAGACTGACATGTCATTTCATCTCCAATCTCTACCATCCAAAGGCTAGCTG